TCTGAAAGCTATGTGGTTATAGGTAGTTTTCAGTATTAATATGTAGGTGATAAGATAAACTTAATTGATTCATCTATTACAGCAGATACAATACAAGACAATGGAAAAGAACACAGACATTACATAAGAATAGAATAATAAGAATTATGTGAACATTACTCCTTTTATATGTGATTGATACTGAATATTTCACGGGTCACAGCAGGAGGTAGTAGCACAGTGTAGACTTGACTAGAGACTCCTCCTCGAAAGACTCGTGAACAATGTTTATATTTAGGAAAGGTCTGATGAGCGTGCTGTTATTCCCCTCCCTTCGTTTCCTATAACCTTCTTGCGTAACATGTAGCATCTGCTGCGCGCGGCCACACGTGAAAGATGACAACAAACAGCTGCTTAGCCATTCATCATAAACTTTGGCTTTAAAACTTCATACAACAAGACCCAACAAGGAAGCGCTGAACACAACATAGGTTAGAATTTATTGTCATACTAAATACATACAGTCATGGCCAAAAATGAAATTTGCATGAAAAGTATTGCATTACACATGTTTTGCTATACACATGTTTATTCCCCTTGTTTGTATTGGAACAAAACAAAAAAAAGAAGGAAAAAAAGCAAATTGGACATAACAAAACCCCAAAAATGGGCTGGACAAAATTATTGGCACCCTTTCAAAATTGTGGACAAATAAGATTGTTGCAAGCATGTGATGCTCCTTTAAATTAACAGGTATGGGCAATATAAAAATCCCACCTGAAAGCAGATAAAAAGGAGAGAAGTTAACAGTCTGCATTGTGTGTCTGTGTTTACCACACTAAGCATGGACAACAGAAAGAGGAGAAGAGAACTGTCTGAGGACTTGAGAACCAAAATTGTGGAAAAATATCAACAATCTCAAGGTTACAAGTCCATCTCCAGAGATCTAGATGTTCCTTTGTCCACAGTGCGCAGCATTATCAAGAAGATTGCAACCCATGGCACTGTAGCTAATCTCCCTGGACGTGAACAGAAGAGAAAAATTGAGGAAAGGTTGCAACACAGGCTAGTCCAGATGGTGGATAAGCAGCCACAAACAAGTTCCAAAGAAATTCAAGCTGTCCTGCAAGCTCAGGGTGCATCAGTGTCAGCACGAACTATCTGTCGACATTTGAATGAAATGAAACGCTACGGCAGGAGACACAGGAGGACCCCACTGCTGACACAGAGACATAAAAAAGCAAGACTACAGTTTACCAAAATGTACCAAAATCCTTCTGGGAAAACATCTTGTGGACAGATGAGACCAAGATAGAGGTTTTTGGTAAAGCACATCATTCTACTGTTTACCGAAAACGGAATGAGGCCTACAAAGAAAAGAACACAGTCCCTACAGTCAAATATGGTGGAGGTTCAAAGATGTTTTGGGGTTGTTTTGCTGCCTCTGGCACTGTGTGCCTTGACTGTGTGCAAGGCATCATGAAATCTGAGGATTACCAAAGGATTTTGGGTCGCAATGTAGGGCCCAGTGTCAAAAAGCTGGGGTTGCATCCGAGATCGTGGGTCTTCCAGCAGGACAATGACCCCAAAAATAGAAATGGATGGCAACAAAGCGCTGGAGAGTTCTGAAGTGGCCAGCAATGAGTCCAGATCTAAATCCCACTGAACACCAGTGGAGAGATCTTAAAATTGCATAAAAAAAAAGAAAAAGCCTTAAGGTTTGGACATTAAGTTTGAGGAACAACATACAAGCATCAATATAGTAAGAGATCCCAACACGATTCAGTTTATGATTCCAGAGTAACTAAATAGGTCCAAAGAAAAGAATTTATAACTTTTAATCTTAAAATGGTCTTTTCTGTTCTGAGTTTGTTTTTCAAAACTGTGTCATTTATTCTTAACCAATCCAGGAACATATGCACACACACACACACACACGTGACTTCATTGAACATTCATCAATATGTGCTGATAGTTTGCCTTAAAACACACACTGTACTTACAGTTTGCCTGTGCGTGTACTCACAGGGAAACATTAAAAAGAGGACTGATATCTGTGACACTTTACATTTGAGCCAGATATCAAGGGTGCAATCAAAAAGACTAGATTTTAGCAGATCAAAATTGATTTCATATGCTGCCTAAATGTGTCCATGTACTAGTTTGTATTTTTTTCTGTACGCTAACCTGTCAAGGTGATAAACACATTCAAGCAGGAGACATGAACACATGAGGGCATGTCACTCAAAACAAGTAGAAGTAGATAAAATATGGAAGGATAGAAATGTGAGAAGGAATGCAGATGGTCCAGTACAAGCTGCCTCTGGTTCACTCATTTCAAGATCAAGATCACTGGTTTATAGTCCAGTGGTGAATGTGTACATTATTTACAGTAATGCATGGAAATGCAGATTGTTAAATTGTATTTCCTTTGTGCTTTTCTCAATGGGTAGAGAATCCCCATCGTATCAGTGTGAATGTACTTTCTGGCCCCTGTTGTTAAATGTCATGTTTTATTTCTCAGATTTCCTTTATTCTTACTATTATTATTTTATAATTTTACCCTTAATCCTGCACAATGATGGGTATATTATTCAGTCTTTGACCGAGATTCATTTTAATACTGCATGACAGTCATTGTCTCACTGTGTTTGCACGCAGCCACCAGCGATCGGCTCTTTTTACTTTTGCGTAAGGGGTAAGAGGTAAACTGATCCGTCAGCCAGACTGAAACCAGGATGGAGTGGTTCGGTAAAAGTTGTACAGACAGTGTACAGGTGGGTCAGTGTATCAGGAAAAACACGAAAAAAGGACAAAATGCCCGCTGGCCAGTCCAGATACACTCCATACGTATTTTTGTACTTCTCAACACAGTCCATAAACTCCAGACATGAGTTATTATGATAAAAGCTCCCATCATGAGTCCAGCACCAAGACTTTTCATTTTGTCCCAAAGAAAATTCAGATGACATGGGTCCCACCCTGTCGATACTTTTATATGCCACCCCAACATCAGCCGAATCACTTTCAACCTCCCAGTAATGGCGACTGGTCAGACTCTCTTCACACAGTACTTGAGAGCATTCAAATCTGTCGGGGTTATCGGGATATGGCTGCCGCTCATTAAAACGTGTTGCCCTTTTGTTTTCGTCCGTCAAAATGAGTCTCACACCTGCTGTGTTGGGGTCCAGTGTCAGATCACAGGCATCTGCAATCGAGACAGAAGAAACAATTATTGGTTGAGAATGGAGATACGATTGTTGTGTGAGTGTGGTTCTTGATTTTAGGAAAATGTTCTTGTTGTTATCATAAAATTAGAGATTGGTTAAAACTCTGGAAGATGTGAAAACAAGCATGTTAGTTGCCATGTCACTGTTTGTACACAATAACTGCAACTCTTCATTTGGCGTGCTGTTCAAATTGCATAACGTGACACAATGTTGTCTATCATCAACAGTGTGTGCTCTCCACTTAACATAATATCCTTATATCCTGATTTGAAAGATATTTTAAGACTTCTAAAAACCTTGCAGACGTCCTGCGTACTGCCACATCCATGTTACAACACCAGATTTTTATTTTCTTACACTGTCTCAGAAGCTTCAAGTCAAACCAGAATTCTTCATTTTGGTCCACACTGATGGGGAATAGAGGGACAGCAGGTGAGAAATATTGTCACAAATAGACTTCAAATCAAACAAATGAAGTGAATCTCGCAAAATAATCTTGGAATGATGATATAAGTTTGACAGCTGTTAGACAGCCTGTTTGAGCATACTTGAGTTTCTCCAGACTGTAGCGTGAATCCTTCTGTATTTCAGTCAGAAGCTTGACTCCTTGATCTGCCAGGTGATTAAAGCTCAGGTCCATCTCCCTGAGGCGGCAGTGGTCGGACCCCAGAGCCGAGGCCAGGTCGGCACACCCATCTGCCGTCACTTTACAGAAGGACAGCCTAAAGAAATTGAAACACGGACATTTCAGGCGTTACATGCCCTTATCAGCAGCAATTTTCACTTGTTAACATGATACAAGCCCCATTTCATTAGTCATTTTTCACGCTTTCCTTTTGAAATATTTGACATCCATCGCCATGCATCACTCAAGTGACACCTTCAGAGTCTTGATGTGAACAGATGATGTACTTGAACAGAGGGGGTGGTGATGGCACAATGGATAAGACACATGCCTTTGGTGTGAGAGACCCGGGTTCAGTCCCCCACTGTGACCCATCCACCAATGTGTCCTTGAGCAAGACAGAGTTTATTTCTATGAACTTCTAGTATTTCTTTCTGGTAATTCTGTGTTGCTGAGGTTCAGCCTGTTTGAATTCAAGCTAAAATAATGGAACATTTAGTAGGAACCAGAGCAGAACAATATGTGTGAACTACTCAAGGACGCATCAAAACAGCTCCCCGACACATTATCCAATTTATCTGTGACTGACTTTTGAACATGAAGAGAAACAGTTTCGTTCACAAATACATGTAGACTGGGTGAAATCTCAGCGCTCTATCATGGTGTGATGTCAGCAGTGTGTTTTCTTTCCACTTGTCATTGTAACAAAGGAGCAGACTGAGGTGTGAGCCAGTCGTAGTACGGGAATGGGGGTAGACCCTGTTTTGCATTATAAAACCGTTCATATGACTGGATGGTAAGAAGCTTTTCTAACCTGTTTCTTTTTATCGTGTTCTAGACAACAGCCAGGACGCTGAGGCCACGTCCAGCTCATCAACATAAAGCCCATCGCCTGTGCTCATTTCTGCAAACGAGGGCTTCACAAAGGAACAGACATGCTTCCAGGTCATCTTTCACACCAATGCATTCACCAATTAAATCTAGTAAACGCAGAAGAGCGGATGATGAGGTAGTGCAGAGAAGCCAGTCAGCGGCGTCACGACAGTAACGCAACTCAGGGCTTTGGGTCGTTGATATCCAGGTTGTTGGACAAACTGTGAGCCAATATGCAATGTTTAATTTTAAGTTTCTGCAATATGTTTGTATATAAACTTTTTTTTGGTGGTAATATATTTATAGGTTTATTTGTTGTGTGTTAGTAATAATCTGTCATTTATTTATTCTTATATTACAAAGTGTGACATTTGCTTTAAATGCGTTCTGTGCCTAAATAAATAATTGGTTGGATATTAATGTCTTTTTTCCATCAAAAAAACGTCCTCTCGTCTACAGTCCCCTGAAGGAGGATGCAGTAGAATGACGTTCTGTTCATGTAATATCGTCCTCTCATCTGTGGCCTCTGCATCCTGATGTGGCACCCATCAATTGCGCCTATGACATCACTGAGGCCACAGAGGCGATGTGTGATGTGCGATGTGAGAAGATGAAGGTTGGTCCCATAGTACAGATGATGTCGAGCACTTCCAGGACGATCCTGTGTGCTGATGACTGTGAAACATCAAACCTGTCTGGCATCTCCTTGAAGCTGTACTGGTTGGCCATGTACCACAGGAACAGCAGCACTTTCTGTGTCACGGGTGCTGGTGGTAGACCTGGACTATGTTCCTTTGTTAAGCCGCTCTCCTGCAGCTTCACCAGGAGATATTCAAAATGCGGCTTGGTGACTCTGAAATGGCGTGAAAAAGCGCAGTCCTCCATGTTCTGCATGGCCTCCCACTCTGTTCCAGTCCTCAGGATGAGCTCAGCATTGTGGATATCAGTATCCTAAAGAAAGAGAAAACTGTATTTAAGTCAATAATACTGTATTATTTCTAATTCATTTGAGCAGCTCCGGAGAAATTTATTCTAGGTGAGTGAAGTTTTCATATCTTATTTGTAATCCTAAGCACAGTTCAGTTATTAACATGTAAGTTATATAGCAGACTAATATTCTAAGTTATATTGTAAAAATTAAGTTTATAGCAGTGCTTGAAATGGAAAACAATAGGTGCCAGTCCTTTGTGGAATTTTCTGGGTTTTTCTACCATCGTTAATTCCTAACAGAGATAATTTGGTTTTTGGTCACCTTTATTTTGAAAATCAGCAAACTAGGGTGGCTAACATGCTAACTTTCTGTTGTGCACCACGTGCAGTTACCGTGAGATGCAGCCGGAGTTCAGCAGCAGAGCCTGCATGTGAGGATCAACGTGTTTAAGTGGACTCTGTTTAAACTTTCGGGATGTTTCACCTCAGACTCATCTCCTGTTAGCCAAGAATGCTAAAGGAAGTTAGCTTGTTAGCAGGAAGTAGCCGGAGCCGGAGCTCGGCCTCACAGTCGGAGCAGCTTCCATAGAGACCAAACTGTATTTTTCACGGAGCCCAAATGTCCAAATGTCCAGATAGAGCTGTCTGAATAGACTCTGTGCTGTTCCCTTTATCTGAACATGTTTAACATCTGAATTATCTCCCGCTGTCCTACGAAGCTAATGCAGTTAGCTTAGCTTGCTAGCTGGAAATAGACGGACCCAACGTAATAACATCTGAGTGATTTGTGTGTTTGTGTCTGCAGGAAAAGCTGCTGTGAATTAGTAAAAAATGTCTGTGGAGAACGAGGAGGAACTTTGTGGACAACGCAAACTCCTGGACGCTGTTTTCAAGCCTGAAGCAGGTTTGTACACTTATTATTCTGCTGGAGCTCATTAAACTCCTTTATATCATGTTGGGTAGTTTCATCCTCAGCAATGTACACCTTTAATCTAAAAGTAACTAAAGCTGTCAGACAAATGTGGTGAAGTAAAAGTTTAAAGTTTCATAACATGCAAAAGTACTTCAAACTTGTACTTTACTTGAGTACAGTACTGAAGTACACATAGGGCCGCATGATTTGGAGAAAAAGTCATATTGCGATTTGTGATATAATGGTAACAAATATGGCACCGTGAGTCTACTTGCTTGATTATGAGGGAAAATGTACAAAAAACTGCATTTTAAAAAGTGTATTTCTCAACTTGAAGCGACAAAGTTAAACTGGCTAAAGAAGAAATACAGTTTTTGTCCCACCACCAGGCCAAAGCCCTGCTCATAATCTTTTAATGTTCCCCATGATTTATTTGTGGCGGCCTGCTACAATATCAACGCTGACTGCCACGTGTTGATTTTTGTGTTTGTTTGTTCTTTACAACTTAAAATGGATAATCATGTATTTCATAGAGCTGCGGTCAGTGCAGTGTTTCCTATTAACTGCAAAGATTATGGTTTATCGATCATCTTGACAGTGACCCCACAGAAGTTTAACAGCTGAGTTTCCCTACTGGTCCGACTGTGGGATCTCCTGCAGGCGGTGATGTAATTTCCCAAAATAGCTGATTGGTCAGTAGGTGGTGCTTTTATAGCTTTGATCTTTTATCTGGAACATAACCTGCTCCGGAGCAGGTTCAGCATAAGTTATCATGTTGATCTATCCCAGTAGGAAGTGAACCACCGACTGGAAACCCAGGGTCACTGTTGCTTGTAAAATATTCACCGTCTTGTAATGTAATACCAGAGATATAATAAAAAGATTTTCAGCAGCTTGCAAGTTATGGTGACGTTAATGTTACCAATGTAAACGTTGGGTTTGCATATACAGGTGTATGCCACATTGGTAAGTTAAAGATAAAGCCACATTAAACCGTTGCCCTTAACGGCTCGCTGCTTAAACTGCCCTTAATTTGCTCATCAAACTCAAGACATCAAACAAGAAACACAGGTTCCCTAAACTGTCGCTCTTTGAATTCTTTCACCTCTTCTTTGAAGTCAGCATGTCTGACGGCAAGATGCTTTGCCAAGTTGGACCACATCTATAATTCTATAGTTTGCTCCATTCATCTGCAAACCGTGGAAACGGAAAAGGTGTTTGTGACGCTCTCTTCTCTGCGCTGCAGTGTGCTCATTAGCTCCGCCCACACCGGGCTCTCACATGTGCCTGTAAAAACAGATGTGCCTACCTGCGATCAGAAAAAACGATTTCGAAACCTACCGTAACTCCCTGCCCTGCCGCTAATCGTTCAAAACATAGCCGGACTCCTCGCCAACTCACTCTGTGACATAGACAGGGAGACGTTGTCAGCAGCTGAAGCAGAAGAAAAGAGGGAGAAGATAAGGAAGGTTTGAGTTTAGCTCGCTGGCCGAAGTTAACTGTATCGCTGCATTCAGTTGTCCAACGTGTTCAGCTTCTCTCAGAGCCAACGGGCTTGTCAGTCACTTTTCGTCAACCGACCAATTGCATCCTGGATGGGGCGGGACAATAAAAGCAGCAAATCATTAAATGTTGGACAATATGATTAATGACAAGTTAGTACTGAGTATTAACAAATTAGAGACCGATGTAGAGCCTTTTTCCTGCACAAGGAAACAAAAAAAACAACCCACAGAAACGGAACAGCTGTAACTGGATTTAATATTCGACTAGCAGTAAAATGTGCTACGATTATATAAACTTATAATGAATGTTGCATATTATTGTTATACTAATAGTAAACTATTAACTAAACATTATACTCTTTATTTAATACACTCATGTACAGTTCGTCCTCCGGGTTGTGGATGGAGACAGATGGACATTGAGCCAATGTCTGCTGCTTCTCGGCGCCTCCTCCGTAGAGCAAAATGCTCCTCTTGTTCTTTTTTACTAGTTATTGTTATAAATTTTGTTTAACTTTCTTCAAGTTGAGAAATACACATTTTAAAATGTCAGTATTTTGCTTATTCCTTGATAATTAAGTAAGTAGACTCATAGTACCATTTGTTCAACTATAATCTAATCGCAATATGACTTTCTCCCTATCGTTCAGCCCTATGTAGTATTGGATGCTTTCAGCCGCAGGTCACTGTAACGTTATCGTAGACGGCATGATTTAGAATCTGCTGGTGGTTGAGAAACGGTTTCTCGTAGCTTTGGATATTATTAAAGAGTGCTGGTACAGGGATAAACTAGATGTGTATATGCTACATTGAATGTAGTTATTTTGGCAGATTATGTGTAAGGTAAAATACAAATACCCTACGCTTATTGTCTTTAAGCCATCTGTTTACAGTTGCACCTTCCAGCAGCAAATATTTATTGATGTGCAATTGGTTACATGGAAAGTTTTTGAGACTGTAATCTGTTTAATAATAACCAAAATGTATATATGAATGCATGTCCTTCCTGTTCCCCCTGTAGTCCACAATCACTTCCTGTATTTGTATTCTGAGCTTTACGGTAAAGACATTGAAACAGTTCAAATGGACTGTTGGAAATGATGAGTACAGTCACAGTTTCTTAGTTCCAAATGTGTTTTACAAAATGTGCGTCCTTTCTCCACACATTTAGGAAAGTAGTGGTGTCAGTGGTTTAAATGTTAACAGGAAGTTTTTCTAAAATGTGTATGCGTTTCATTATTCTCCAGACGTCCAGCTGCTGGTGAGTAAAGAAGAGGTTCCCCCCTGAACAGCAGGAGTTGAGCCCCACCATGGACCAGGAGGACCCACCAGAGCTCCCACTCATTAAAGAGGAGTGGAGCCCCATTCTGGACCAGGAGGACCCACCAGAGCCCCCACACATTAAAGAAAAGTGGAGCCACAGTTTGGACCAAGTGGACCCACCAGAGCCCCTACACATTAAAGACGAACAGGAGGAACTCTGGACCAGTCAGGAGGGAGAGCAGCTTCGAGGGCTGGAGGAGGCTGAAATCAACAAGTCCCCTTTCACTCCTGTCCCTGTGAAGAGTGAAGAAGACAATGAAGAGAAACCTCAGTCCTCACAGCTTCATCAAAGACTAACTGAGCAGATGGAAACTGATGGAGAGGGCTGTCGAGGACCAGAACCAGCCAGAAACTCGGATGCAGATGGACATTTACAACCTGAGATTGATGACAATATGTCCCACTCTGAACCTGAGACTGATGACAGTAGTGATTGGGAGGAGACCAGAGAACCTCAGTCAGGTTCAAACTCACTGCAAAACAATGAGGTACCTGGACGTGATCAGGAATGTAGTACTGGAACAACACCAAGTAGCTCCTCTGAATGTGCTGCAAGCTCTGGCCACAAGGAACACGATGAACTCCAAACAGGAGATAAAGCATTGAGTTGCTACGTTTGTGGTAAAACCTTCCTCCGGAAAAACACCTTAACTGATCATATGAGACGTCATCCAGTAAAAATCATTTACAGCTGCTCAGTTTGTGAAAAAACTTTCATTTCCGAAAGCAGTTTGTCCAGTCACGAGAGAAGCCATGCAGTGGAGAAGCCATTTTGTTGCCCGTATTGTGGTAGAAGATACAGCAAGGAGAAGTGTTTGATGAGTCATTTAGAAGAAAAATATTTAAGATGCTCAGTTTGTAAAGAAACTTTTCAATGCAGACAATATTTTGTGAAGCACATGGAAGGCCACAAAAACGGGAACAAAGGATACGGCTGCAGTGTTTGTGGCAAAATATTCTCTAGGTGGTCCCAGCTCAATAGCCATCAGTGTGTTGTTTTGGAGGAGACCAGGGACCGTCAGTCAGGTTCAAAGCCTTCACAAAACAATGATGTACCTGGACGTGATCAGGAATGTAGTACTGTAAAAACACCAAGTAGCTCCTCTGAAGGTGCAACAAGCTCTGGCCACAAACCCCAAACAGAAGAGAAACCATTTCGTTGCTCAGTATGTGGTAAAACATATGTTCTGGAGAACACCTTAAAGAAACATATGAGACTTCATTCAGAAACACAGTTTTACAGATGCTCAATTTGTAATCAGACTTTCATTACCGAAAGCAGTGTGTCCATACACGAGAGAAGCCACACTGTGGAAAACCCCTTTAGTTGTTCTGTCTGTGGCAAAGGATTCACACTAAAGCAAGAACTGAGGCGACACATGAAAGCAGGGCTGCACTTAACAGTTGTTTCTTAATCCGTAAATCTAAACATTATTTCTTTCTTAGTTCATTAAAGGTGGAGTAAGTTATTGTAATACAATACATGTCTTTTTGACAGATTTAGTTAATATCTCCTCATGATCCGTTAGCTGTCCGTTCTGTGTGTGAACGATGAAAACAGATCCGGTGTACTCAGCCATTTATGGTCTGATGTGCCGGCTCTTGGAATCTCGTCCTCTCAGCATGTTGGCTTTAAGTTCGCTTTTGCAGCTGCAACTGTAATGACAGTATGCTGAGATACAAGTTAGCTAACGTTAGTTACATTCATTTGTCATGTAATTGGACTTGTCCAGAGTTGCTTACTCTGTTTTAATACATCACTGCTTTGTTATGATTATATTAATAATCATAAACGGACCCTTTTAAAATGTTCTCATTTCAGCTCCGGGAAACATCTACTTTAATAATGAGCTACAAGTCAGTCAGACTGGGAAAACAGGATAAAGATTTATTTTGATGAGATTTTTGAAACAAGTCAATGTTTGACTGGAAACTTGTTTTGATATTTTCATGACTTTAACATGTTTTAGTTTATTTTTTTAAATGCTTTTTTTTCTTAAAAGGTGTAAATGAGTAGATATTTTCTGTTGATTTATGATGTGAATCTATTGTACAGTTTTTGTAAACCATTAGAAGTTATAAATTGAAATGTCTTGGGAAGTCATGATCACGTTATTTTGCCCCCGATCCGAGTCATTTAATATTCAGGATCCGCCAATCCCG